CAAACCTTTTGCGTACCGAACGAGTTCGGTACTAACAATGCGCACAGCAACTCAATGTCACACGAATTCTACCAAATCATGGTCGGCGACCCCACCATGTCCCTTTGGAGCTGGAAGCAACTGGCAAAATGGAGTATTGAATACAGCTGCCTCAACACCAAGGAACAGGAACGGGGGCTAGAAATCTTGAATAGAGGTTGGAAGGAGTTCTGCCAGACCGTGGTTCGAGACTATGGTCCTCTCATGGAAGACGAAGCTTCAGTCAACATCAATCCCTATAGGGCAGAGGCATCATATTCGGTGCGCGACGACAAGACTCATCCCGTTATCGAGAAGGCCATATCGGACAAGAAGATGGCAGAGAAGAAGTCTTCAGGGCAGGAGCATCCAGACGTGATCAAGATAGAGAGGGAGAAAGCAAGGCTGTGGATGGAGTCTTTGGCTAGCAGCAACGTCCTCAAGCGAAAACCTTGATATTGCGACACACGAACCGTCAAGGGGCAATCTTCTCTCATCTAACGCGACAGGGGAGGAGAGTCGAATTCCAACATGGGGCTGGCTGACTGGCTCGCGTCTGCTTTCGGGATACAACTGCAATATGCAACGCAACCATTACATGATGACTTATTTGGACTAGATTACGGCCGTCACGTAGATTCCCAAGGCTACGGCCAACCCAATACAATATTTCTGACTCTCAATGCTCTTCACTAAGTCGCGTCCCCGACAGCACCTAGCACCCTCTTATCACTACCTGTGACCGTCTGCCCTTTCGCCTGCGCGAAATTCGCGCTTCGCTCATGCGCCGGGTTGGGACTGTAAAACTCATCGACGATGGGATGAATCATGACCGTCTGCTTCGATATAGTAAGCGTACTATTCGTGGGGACCGTAACCCAGTTATCTGTTCTTGTTAGCACACGATGCACCAGAAGGGACGTGAAGAATAACATACCCCTCTCAAACGTCAACGGCTCACTAGCCACAAGCACGATATCACTCCCCTTGTCCCTACGTTCCATAACGTAATCCCTCTCCCTCTCCTCGTCATCGACAGAAACACCAGCATCAGAGTCCTGAGACTGAGCGTTGAGTTCGCGCCAGCTCGTTCCACTGCTGAAGAAGAGGCTGGCTGCTTCATCCGTCTTACTACTCACGTACCGCGAGCAAACCACGCTAACACCATCCGTAACAGCGAAGTTGAGCAAACTCCTGCTATCCTCCTCGCCGACACCTTGTTCGCCCACGACGTCTTTGATGAAGCCATTGAGCCGCTCAATCGTCTTCAGTATCGCTTTACGCAGTACCGTATGTCCGAAGCCTACACCTGGCTCAACATCCTTATCGGGTGAAATACCAGCTTTATCGAGACAATCGAGAAAGGTAGCGAACGCCCACTCGCTATCCGTACTCCCACCTACAACGTTGAACCATTTCTCGTCCAGACTCATAGCCAGTCTCCGCTTGATCTGTTTCCAGCATCCTATGCCGCCGTTGTGCATGAACATGAGGCTCTTGTAGCTGAAGGGGTGGCAGTTGCTGTCGCTGAGGTTACCCTCGGTTGTAGCGCGGACGTGGGCGAAGATGAGGCTCGATGTGGTTTTGGACGCGATGCGCGAGAGGTTTATGCAGTTCCATGCTGGGATCGTCGAGGTGAAGACGCAGGGCGTGGGACCGAGGGATGGGCAGGTGTAGTAGCCGATGCCGAAACCGTCGCCGTTGTGTGGGCGCCGTCTGTCCTGGTGGTGGTTAGTGGAAGGGGTGATGTGGGTGGTGGATGGTAACGTACTAGGCGGAGGCGCGAGTCGAAGGATTGTGTAAGGATAGAATGCGAAGGGTTTAGAATGAGCTCGGAGAGGAGTATCTCATCCTTGCCTTTGTAGACCTGTGGGTGTTAGCTGCGTACTGCGCGGGTCTGTGGTGCTCTGCTTACCATAAACCTACACATGTTGGGTATCTGTTGTTGTGTAGTCAAACTTCAGCGTCTCAAATCACGCAGAAGTAGTGACCCTGGTGCTGAATGTGTGGAATGGCAGTTGTGTCAAGATGGTGGTGCGCTGGCTGCGAGTTCGGGGCGGCGGTGTGTTCGCGATGATTGCGCCATCGGTCCAGGGCGTTGCTTGGGATATCATTGGATTCTGCACAGATTGCAGAGACGTCGCGTAGGCGCGCACGCGATATTACGGATTTCATCCTGAGACACGCGACATGCTATCACGAAGCGAGCCAGCAAAGACAGCTAACCCCACGCGTGGTTCGCGGAGGCATGCCGGGGCGGGGTGATCAGGGTTCCGCGGATGACGCACGTGTTACTTTCCCAGCTAGCGGCACTGTTAGTTCAACAATCACATGCAACTTCATTCATGTCGACCAGGCTATGTTGTAAGCCGATTACTCGGCGATTTATTCAGCTATCTGGCTGGCGCGGCTGGACTGCGAGCGCATGTTGCCCTTGCACCCAATTGTGTAGAGCGCCATTCCAGAGCAGACCGCCCAGTCCAACCATTCCGATCTTCAGACAAGCTAGACAAACACGCAACGCCGGGGATATGATGCGGTTATTGAACATGGGTGGGGTACAAGACGGTGTATCTTTAAGGCTTCATTGAAATCATGGCGAAGTGATAGCTGGAAAGGATGGGGGTATTGCTAAGGAAACACAAAGGTCCTCGCAATCATAGCACTTCCGTGGATCATGTATCATATCGTGTATGATCTCCGTGTTCGTCCAGGATACTGCAAACACTACTAGTCGTGCTCTCGTGGCTGGCTAGCGTGGTGGAAGGGCTGCACTGAAATGCAACGTTTCAACTTCGGACTCGTCGCGGACCTAGACCCGCTTACATGTCCATGGAGTCACCTCCGTTGGCGAAGTTGAAGTTTTGTTGTTGCTGCTGACCAGCGGCGCCGAAGCCGAACTGACCGTCCTGGTTGACCTGGGGTCCGGCCTCGCCCATGTTCTCCGCCTCACCCTCCTCGTCGGCGAAGTACTTCTCGATGATGTTGTAGGCCTTCATGTAGATCTCCTCGTTGGCGTTGTTCTGGCACTCGTGGATCTTCTCCATGCCGCCGACCTCTTCGATGAAGAGAGCGTAGCGGTTGATGGGCTCGCCGCCAGCACCACCCTCGCTGGCCTCCTTGTCCATCTCTCCGACCTTGAGAATGTTCTCAAGACCATCGAGGGCAACCTGGATGATCTTGTTGTCGGGGCAGGCGAGGAGATCGCAGAGGGGCTTGATGCAGCCGCTCTGCACGAGGTAGCGGATCTGAGCAGGCTTCTGCAGACCACCGCTGGTGGCGTTGGAGATGGCCCAGCAGGCCTCCTTGCGCGTCTTGAAGTCGCCGTTCTGGAGGAGGTGGATCAGAGGGGGGATGATGTTAGCATCGATGACGGCCTGGATCTGGGTCGAGTTGCCGGCGGTGATGTTGGAGATGGTCCAGCAGGCCTCCTTGCGGATTCCGTCCTTGGTGGAGCTGAGGAGGGACAGCAGCGCGGGGAGCGAGCCGCAGTTGATGATGACCTGGGTCTGGACGTCGTCGCCAGTCACGATGTTGCCGACGGAGCGCAGGGCGGGGGTCTGGACGGAGGTCGAGGCGTGCATGAGCAGCTCCACGAGGCGGCGGGGGATGCCGGCCTCGATGACGGCCTGGATCTTGTCGTTGGAGCCATCGGAGAGGTACGAGATGGCCCAGCAGGCGTCGATGAGGACCTCGTCGTCGAGCGAGTATACGAGCTTGGCGAGCACGGGCAGGGCAGGCTGGATCTGCTGGACAATTAGTACCTCGAGTTAAGTGGGGCAGCGAGCAGAACTCACAGTTTGCCAGTCGGGCTGAGGGGTCTTGCCGCGGCAGAAGTTGCTCAGGGTCCAGGTGGCATTGCGCAGCATGCTGAGCTTGCGGCTGTCGCCCAGCAGGGCCAGCAGCGGGCGGAGAGCACCGGCCTGCAGGACAAAGTCGCGGCAGGCGGGGCTGTCACCGGCGATGTTGCCCAGGGCCCAGACGGCCTGCTCGCGCACGTCTGGCTCGTGGCTGCTGAGCAGCTCGACGAAGATGGGCACGGCGCCCGCCTCGATGACGACCTGTGTCTGTTGCGCCGAGCCCGACGCGATGTTGGTGAGGGCCCAGGCGGCCTCGAACTGCACCAGCGTGTGCGGGGAGCGCAGGAACTCGACGAAGCGGCTCACGACGCCGGTCTCGATAACGCGCTCGATCGGGGGGTTGCGCTCCTTGGACAGCAGCTTGCGGAACTTGGTCGTCGCCTGGATCTGCTCGTCGATCTGTTCCGAGAAGACGCCCTTTACCATCTGGGGGAGCTCCTCGTTGAGCTACATCGCGTTATGTCAGCCTGCTGCTCTCTCACTCTCTGTGCTCGCTGAGGCACGGGATGGTGGGGTATACACGCACCTGGCTCTCGATGTTGCCGCCCTCATCGTCGCTGTCGGGGGCAGCGCCGAGCGAGGCGCCCGGCTGGTCCCGTCCAGCGATACCGCGGCGCTTTGCGAGGTTCTCCTCACGCTTCGCCCGGCGGATCTCGACCTGTTGCTCTTCACGGCGGCGGCGGAGTTCGTCTGGCTTGAAGGCGCTCTTCGCCTTGAACGTCGTGCGACGGTGCTCGGGGATGTACTTGTCGGCCATGCTAGCGACTCTGGTGGGCGTGCAGTGTGGGAGTCGGACAAGATTTGGGTGCGGCTGTTTGTTTGTAAAGGGGAGTAAACTTTCCTACCAGAGGGGTGATTTTGAAAGCGGAAGCGGCGAAGCGGGTATTGGCGCTAGTAGCTTGGCTCGAGCGCTCTACCCAAGCAACCACCACGACGCGTCGCGACTGTCGCAGTGATATGCCCCCGCCACCCTGCAGCTGTTTGTCACACCTGCACGCCCGTATTGCGAGACCACTACGACAGACAAAGGCCTAGTCTCAGCCACTTCGCCTCTCCTGCAATTGCTTCTCCTTTGACGGCCTCGCAGTCCACGCTAACCGCTTTCGGCCATCTCCAGCTGCAATGCCGCTGCAGCTGCCCAACGGCTTCACGGCTATCAAAGATGCCACCGAGGCGAAGTCCACGGTCAGTCTAATCGGCGTGCTGGTCAGTCTTGATCTTCCCAAAACAACGCGAAGACAGGACATGGCCCTAAACTTCACTATTCAAGATGACTTCACGTCTGGTGAGGTTGGAGGTGAATCAAGCATCACCTGCCGATTGTTCAGACCAACCGAAGACAAGTTTCCCAAGACCGTTGGCGATGTCGTCATACTCCGAAGGTGGCAGCTGCAAGAGTACCAGTTTCGCATGGACGCCATTGGTTCTAGGACCTGCCACATCGTCGTCTTCCCAAGCCACAGGATTCCCGTTCCGGGGCTGAGCGAGGCGTTTCAGGCCGGCAGTCAAAAGCTGCCTCACGAAAGGACTGGGGGCCCTCCCCCGACGATTTCAGAGCAGATGGCTGTCATACATCTAAAGCATGCATCCAAGGGCGCAGCACCACAAGTGAAGCAGCATGCGGCCATTAGTGCTTCCAAAGCCAAGACAGCAAGGAAGAAGTCTTTAATCAAGGATCTGCAACTTGATACCTTCTACGATGTTTGTGCACAGGTTGTCGACTTCTACTATACTCAGTTAGGTGACCGAGTCGACTTGAAAGTGACCGACTATACTCCGAATGAACAAATGCTCTACTACCCAGATCCAGACTCGGAAAAAGATTTCCCGGTCAGAGAAAGGCGCTGGAGTAGTCCATTTGGTCACATGGTCCTCAACATCACCGTGTATGGAGCAAATGCGGCTTGGATACAGGAAAACCTTGGCCAGGGTGACTTCGTCTTTGTAAGAAACATGCGAGCCAAGCTGGCTACCAATGGCAAGTTGGAGGGTGCTCTACATGAGGACAAAATGAACGATTCAAAAGTCGATATTATGCTCCTGAAGAGCGAGGGCGAGATCGAAGCAATTAACAAACGGCGGGAAGAGTACGAAAAGGAACGCGAGACCAAAACAGCTTTTCAGGCGTTGCAGAATGAACCGAAGCAGCATTCTGCCAAATCTGCAAAAGAGAAAAGAGAGGCCAAGAAACTGAAGGCGCGAGCAGACAAGGAGGCCGAACTGGAAGAGCTCCAGCGAGCAGAACGAGAATGGGAAAAAGGTCGTGGTGGCATTAACACAAACGGTAAGACTGCCCGGCCTCTTTCTTCTCCACACTGACTCTCCTCAGTCACCGCCGCTTTTCCCCACATGAAACTATCCACAATTTCCGAAATCATACACAACCCTCACCGGACGGTGACGACAACAGAAAAGTACACCACATTTGAACTTCCATTCATCAACTGCAGACATCGATCTCGCGTGCGGATAGTAGATGTTTATCCTCCTGAAATCAAGCTCTTCGCGCATAGTACAAGAGACAGGAAGTGGAACAAGCATCCCAAGCGCCAGAGCTCGAGTGGTGCCCATGCGAACGAGAAGTGGGAATGGGGATTCGTTCTCCTACTCGAAGATGCCAACGTTCCTCGCGATACAGTGGCCGAGAAACTGCGCGTGGTCGTCAACAACGAAGCTGCGCAGTTTCTGCTAAAGATGAACGCTGTTGAGTGAGCAAGCCTGTTCCTTCACGATTACTACCTTACTAATACTTTCGCAGTCTCACGAATCAGCCCAAGGTTCTCAAGAAACTCGAGGAGAAGCTCTTCATCTTGTGGGGTAACCTGATGGAGCTCAAGACCGAGTTGCGAGATCGAGGAAACGATCTGCCGCTACCGCCGGGAGACAACCGCTTACAGAACAAGCCCTTTGACGCTTGCATTGAAGAGTATGGCTGCGAGGTACCCCCAACAAAAGACCAGCATGAATTTGGCTATCAACGCATGTATAGGCTCGCGCAGACGGCGATTGTGGAATAAGCCCTTTCTTTACGACAGTCAGGTTGACCTGCATACCTTGTATGCCTCTCATTTTACTTGATACCCTCTGTGTAATTGTACTCAGTCTCTCTGTTAGCAAGGCGTAAGGGATGCGCAAGGATTGGATATCCACGTAGCGATTACAAAGGATGACCGAGACGGGAAACCTAGCAGGCGAGACACGTCCACTTTCCTCGGTCTTCCGCAACGTGCGATAATCGATATGGAAAGACGGAAAGCCTGACTTTCAAAATTTGGACCTGGCTTTCATCTGCGCTCTTTTCCGAATGTCGCTAAGATCATGGCTCACTGCAGATGCAGCCAGGGTATACATGGAATTGTACGTAACCGGCCAACGAACCAATCAGCCCCATCTTTCTCCACGTGTTAGAGCGTACAGTCGCTCCTACCCTTCAACAGATCGACCTTGTTGCGTGTGCTGATCTTGGAGGGCCTAGTATCGTATTCGTCAGATTGCGTGATCAAACGTGCTTGTAGCGAAAGGTCACTCATCAGTCACCGCGCCTTCATAGCGCCGAGCTCGGCCTCCTACTACTGCCTATTCGAATCCGCGACACAACTACATCCGTCTTGTATTCCACCAATTAATGTCAAATTTTAGGCTGTCATCGTTACAGTACTCACCAAGATCGATGCTGTGCAAGAGCTAGGAGTAGTACGCAGTGGAAGATACTTCGTGCAACATCTCGGTACCGGACATCTACATACAACAGATCCCCCAAATCGTGCCCACAAGTGCAATTTGCATTATGGCTCTGGAGGTCACTTCGATGATGATACAGACTCCTGGCGCCAACATCGCTGTCACAACTCCCTTGTCACCACACGAGGTTTCCATGAAGCTACCAGCGGTACTGCCCATTCTGGACGCCACGCAAATCCATGGCCTGCTCGACCCAACATCTATATCCACCGACTTCGATAAACTGCGTTTCGAGGCCGCGGCACATGAGCAACTCACACTTTGCAACGAGCAGTCCAACAAGACCGCCTTACGAGCTGAACAGCCACCCTCCACTCTCCTGATCTCCTCCCCGTACAACATCCCAGGCCATTACCTTGATCTTTCCTCTCCGCACCTGACCACCTCTTCCAGGCTGCTCGCACTAGCTCTTACAGTCTTGAAACCAGCAACACCCACATACACAACCGCCTCCTACACCCAGGCCCTGAACTTCGACTCTGTCCTGACCGCTCTGCGCGATCTGATCGCAAGGGAAAACTTCACCTGGAGAGAAACCAGTTTCTACGTTGTGGTCTTCCGCTCACAGCTCAAGGAAGGAATCGACGAGGAGTATCTGTATCGACTCGACGCAGAATCTCATCGGGAGGCGTGTGATAGTGGGGGGCTGTTGAAGTATTGGTTCGGAAAGGCAGATGGAGAGAGGAGAAATCTTGCTACTTGTACGTTGTTGTTCCCTTCTTCCCCATACCCAAAGTGAAGTGGTTTAGGATGGGCTCCGCTGACCATGGTGGTAGGCTTCTGGCACAGCAGGGAAGATGCGTACAAAGGAGGGCTGGGGCCGTGGCATAGAAAGGCGAGGGCTGCTGGACGCGAGCTGTATGAGAGTATCGTGTTCAGTACCTACAGGTTCACAGTGGCGGATGGAGCGGAGGAGTACAAGTTTGAGGAGTGGGTCAAGTGAGGTGGGGGTGGACATGGGCAAGATTTGCCATAACCTTAAGATACGCAAGAAGGAGAAGAAATGGTAGGACCTGAGAAGATGACGAAGGCAGTATCAATAGCAGGGAGGGAGTATATGATATGATAGAGAAAGTGTAGGTGGGTGTAGCTGGAAGAAATCATGCAGCGGTTGTGGAAAAGTACAGCGTTCAATTGCTCAAAATGATCTATACCATGCCCTACTGTACAGCGCATCGTCCGCATGCAAAGTTCGAATTACATAGAATAGTTCCGATCCATCTCGTTCGTGGAGAATAGTTGGCTTATGGTCGGATAATGCGGAGGCCGTCTTTCGGGGGTGATGCTGCGCGCTTGAAGGACTGTTCCTCTGTCAGTATTCGGTCTCTTATGCCAGTTCCAAGACTAATTGTATCTTACGTTGTCGCACTCTTCCCAGGCCCTTCCGGCACCGAAACCGAGACCGGTGAATGCGGGCCATGCGCGGCGCTTGAAGAGAAGTACGGAGAAGACGACGCCGAATGACAGGCCGAGGCCGGAGCGGATGAGCATTGAAGAGAGGCAGCGGTCCCACTGGGATCATGTTAGCATGACTGTCCGATAGCGTTCCAACATTCTTGTCTCGGCGTATGATCGAACGGAAGTTGGCAGTAGTCGCGTGAGGCGGGCCAAGACTGCCATTATTTGACTACCCCGCTTCTGGTATATTTTGATACCTCTTTCAAAGATGTGCAGATGTTTTTGCCATGCCTCAGAGGCCTCTTTCCCGGGGATTGTACCTTTTCGTTGAGGAGAGCTTCGCTCATGGGACGTGTGGTGCGCGAGATGGGAGCGACGGGCTGGGGGGTGTTGTCGGCCATGGCGGGCGTGTTTGCGAGTGCAATTGGGCGGTTCAAGGGCGCACTCGGTGTGCTGGGGGTGATGGACAGCGGTTCGACGTGGTGTTGATGGGCGCTGGGCGGAGCTCCAAGCGGAACTTTGACGTCGCCGGCACTTGGCAGGCACGACTAGGATGGCTGGTCCGTGCCCAAACTTTTTCCGCATACCAGGCCTTTGCGATCTTCCCCAGTTCTTGCAATCACAACGGGTACCGAGGTGACAAGATGGCACCAATCAAGCCAGTAGGATTTCTTCATACTCATAGGTATATACATAGCTGACAACATAGCAGGCCTCCAAGAACGACCCTGCGTCGACCCGACCGCGGCTGCAAGCCATCAACCAAGACTTCTCCGACCTCGACGAACAGATCCGCCAAGCTGCGCATATTATAGGCCTTCCCGAAGACTGGAGTACCATACAGGACCACGACACAAGATCAGAAATCATACGACGACTTGTGCGCGCAAGAGCGGAATGGGTTCTGCGATGGATCCTCGACAAGTTGAAAGACGAGACGGAAACCGGGCGGACAGCGCGAACAAATGCCAGCGCGTGGCAGCTTCTCGACTGGATGATACATGTCTTGCCCGTCTCAAGAAGCGCACCGCATCTACGCGATGCCGCCTTCCCCAGTATCTTGGAGAGAACCCTCATTGAGAACTTCAACACAGACGCAGTCCTACAGTCGACGGCCACTTCAGAAGACGTTCACATGAAAGATGACTCCGAGTCGAGCGCGACCGTCCGCGAAGGAACCAAACCATCCAAGAAGCGCAAACGAGGAACCGCTGAGGCATCATCGGCAGCATCGACAGCAGCCGGCCCTGTAAACCTGGACCGTCTTTTCGGCGTGGTCAGGACTGTAGTAAACTCTATCGCTCACCTGGCCGGAAGCGACCAAAGCGACGATACTACCCAGGCTGAGCTGATGAAGATGGTTTTGAGGACAGACAGCGCAGAAGCCTCGCGCATTCTAAGGTTCTGGCTTACTGCTGTCCGGATACTGTGCGCGACGCCTTCTTCCACTTCCGAGGTTACTACTTTGGAAGACTACCTGAACCTGTCGCTTGCGCTTGAAATGTGGGACCTGCGAGCCGCTGAAGTCAAAGACGAGACTGGGGCATCCGCTGAGGAGTTCAACACCGAGTGCCTCGTGCCTATTTTGACATTGCTGGAAGTTCTCAAAAAGATGCGTAACGATGGTACACCAAGATCCTCTCAGAGAACCCTTGATCGCGCAATCGCAGCGCTCGACAAGCTTTTGGCCAGACACCTGCTCGCACCATCAAGAGCAGCTTTCTTTGCAGATGTCAGTGTCGCTACAGGCTCAAACGATGTTGGCCCGAACGCCCGAGATACCACAGTCCTTGCAAGTAATCTGGAACCGCTTCGCGCAAAGCTCCTCCAGGCTGCGCAGATCGAGGATGGTGGCGACGCGCTACCTACAGAGCTCGCATCTCTTTTCAACACAGTCCCTCATGTGCTCGATCTAGCAATCCGCGCCTCTCCATCACGGACGCCCAGGAGCAGAGCCATGGAGAAGCCTTGGATACAGGCTGTCTTTTCGGCGCTTGCTGAGTGTGCTGGGTGCTCGCTAACCACACCTCCGAAGTTCATCACACGGCCGACGGCCGTTACTGCGCTTAGCGGTGCTATTCACGTTCTGCAAGCGCATGAAGTAAGCCTTTCTGCAGACCTTGTAAAAAAAACCTTCTGGTATCACTGTGGTGTAAAGTACCCCGAACGTCAGGAGAAGCAGGTGCATTGGTCCCTCATCGCATCTCTCATTCAACTCGACTCATCAGTCTTTGTGGAGTCGAAGTTGGGAGCCAAAGTTATGCAAGAGCGCCAGACTGACCTTACTGAGTTCTTGTTTGAGAAGATAACGGCTTCAGAGTTGGAGGGTACAGGCTTTATCCAAGAGCAGACAGCCATCGGCTCTAAACTGCAACATTCTGCGTCCAACAACGAGGCCGGTGCTCCCTTAGGACGCGCTGAAATTCTGGAGAGGATCATCAAGCCACTGATGCTGGCGTTTGTGCGCCACAGGAATCTACTTGGCTTCATCCGGAGATGGGATGAGCAGTTGGTCAAGAGCTACAGGCACGGCAAGCGCAATTCTCTCAAGGACGGACAGGAAATCATTTGGGAAGATCGCGCCCTGCACAGTGCTCTGGCAGAGTCTCTCGAACCATCCCTGACCCAAAACCAGATAACAACACTGATTCAGGAGCATGCGGAGCGCCTGGCGCAACTTGCTGTGGCAATCGAGACCTCCGCCGAAGAGAACGTCAAGGTTAGGAAACTCGCCGCTTACAAGAATGCAGCAAGCAGCGCTGTCCTAATGCCGGCTCTTCTTCAATCAATCCAGTCCGAGAACACGATCGAAGCACTTAAATCTGAGCTTCATGCTTTGTTCCTCACATACAAGGCATGGGTTCAGGAACTCAAGTAC